GAGAGAGTCATTATGAACTAACGAGCTTTAGCAAGGGCTTAACAGGCTCCTAACTAGTTTACTAGGCATCTACCTCAAAATCTTTCGAAAAGGTCCTTTTTTTCAAAACTATTTCAAAGGCTATGTAATTTTTTTCACGGCTGCAAGAATGTAGGATTCTGTACTTCACTAGAACGCACTCGAAGAGCTTGATGTTGACTAAATTTCCTTATCTATAAAATTCCGTTGTCATGCACTGAGTTTTGTGCAGTATAACATTGGGATATCACTCACGCAGCTCTTTGGTGCTTCTACTGATGTACAAAGGCCTACGTCATTGTTTGTCCAGATAAAATGATTTTGAAGATAAATGGAACCTTTTGGGGACTTGCCTATAGCTGAGTTATGTACAGTGTTGAGGGTACACAGATTTGCCTGAACAATGTCTTTATGTTAGATTTTCTCCTAATTTCATATAGAAGCGATGCACTTCTGCCGCAGCTGAGGAAAATATTGTGGTTAAGTTAAAAGAGATTCTTCGAACAGCAGTTGGAGGAGATCTGAACGCAGCAGTGAATAGTTTTGAACAGTTTAGGTGAGCATGAGAATGTACTCTTATTTCTTGCTAATCGTTGTTTGAAGAGAAACTAACGACGTACCTGACTGGGGAGTGGTGAAGATGTCAAGTATCTTGTTAGCCCATGGTCAAGAGAAGCAGTCGGAAAATCTTTTGCGACAACACTATCTCGACTATGGAGGGGAACATCGCCTAGGTCCGTAGATTTTCGCATTTTTTTACTTCTGCAGTAAGAAAATTCAAAGTGAAATTTCCAGCTCGTAAATCAAACATCAAAGAAGAACAAGTGGTTGCTGCACTTCTACGCGTATTGAATTCTGACGGCGCCAGAGGTGTTAAGAATGCTCACCAGCTGTATCAATGGCTTCTAAAAGGCAAATACTGCACAAACAAGGATCTATTCATTGTTCTTTTTGTTGAGAAAGCTTACGAGAGGTAGGTCCCAAACTTCTCAGACAGCTGACCGGAACTTCTACAGAACGTTTGGGAAAGTTCCGCCGGGTCACCTGCGGAAG